ATGGGGGCCCAGTTTGGGTCAGCTCTGGGTTAACTGGCACTCCACACAAGAAAGATAATATTCGTCCATGTTCTTATACATCCCTGGGCACCAAAACAATTGGGAGAGTTTAGACACCATTCCCCCCACTGCTAGATGTTCTGCTAATGGCACATTGCGAGCTAAATTTAAGAGGTCCCTTTTAAACATCAAGTTTCCCTTTAGTTCAAACTCCAGGGCTCGCTCAGGAGTTGCCCCTTTTGGGTTAGCATCTTGGATTATTCATAGCAGGACAGGGTGTCAGGAAATTATAAGGTTTGTAATTTAAGAAACTGACATCTTAAACTGAATGTGTACAGGAACTTGTTAATCAGTCATATTGTACAGCTGTGTATAAAACTGAGTCATGCTGACTAGACAGAAAGTTGACATAATCATGTGAAATCACCTAGCATGAGGTAATGTTAGCTGATTTTTTTTATTACTATATTGCTATATTGCTATATTACTATATTACTATATTACTATATTGCTATATTACTATTTTTTAATACTATATTGCAGGGACATGGTGGCGCTGCGGGCTAAACCGCAGAAGCCTGTGCTGCAGGGTCAGAAGACCAGCAATCATAAGATTGAATCCACGCAACAGAGTGAGCTCCCGTCGCTTGTCCCAGCTCCCGCCAACCTAGTGGTTCGAAAGCATGCAAAATGTAAGTAGATAAATAGGGACCATCTCGGTGGGAAGGTAACAGCATTCCGTGTCTAAGTCGCACTGGCCATGTGACCATGGAAGATTGTCTTCAGACAAACGCTGGCTCTATGGATTGGAAACGGGGATGAGCACCGCCCCCTAGAGTTGAACACGACTGGACAAAAATTGTCAAGGGGAACCTTTACCCTTATTACTATATAGGAGACAACATTGTTTGTGCTGCGTCCTCCGGTCTACTAAAGTTTTCTTCAAACAATTATCCTGTTCAAGACAGCCTGTATTTATTAATATTCTTGCTGTGCTTGACACTGAACTAAGAGACTGAAATAGATCCGAAACCAAACAACTTGTAAGCTAGACTGCGGTTTGTTGTGCATACCTTTGGTGATAGGACAAGTATAATCAACCAGAATATAACTGCTGCTTTGGGAAGTTGACATCAACATCTGGGGACCCAAAGCTGGTGACATTATCTAAGTTCTCTGTTTAAAGAGCTTGTGTATACTCCTGTTACTCTAAGGACGGGTTGTTGCTGAGGCCTTGAAGTTTGGAAGAGAAAGTTCGCCTGAGGCAGGGAATAAAAGCTTTGTTTGATGGCAGTCCCTTTGTTCCCACTTCCTCTACACTGCTTAACTGTTGATTAATTGGCAAGAACCTCCAAACCCGCAGAAAACCAGCTGAAGCTCCTCACTTTGTATAACTTTGATTGAAAAGCTTTGTAACTTCTGTATCAAGCAGGCACTCATTATTAAGTACTCACTATCAAGTAGAGATTCACGGAGTAAGAACAGCAGGTGTGGTAAGCCATTTGAGATTACTTCTCTGCCTTGAGAATGAAGCTCCCTACAAATTTTGATATTTGTTGCCGCAAAGTCTAAAGACAGCAAAAGTCTAAAGACAACTTTATTTTGCCTGTGGATGGTTGGGAGCTGAGACGGACATCCAGTTGTGGGTTTCTTAAGAACTCTAAAGAAACTTTGGGAGTGCCCGCTCAGTGTTTGTTCGTACTTCTATTATTGTGTCCAAGTCTGTGGTAGCTCCTCATCATTTTAAATTTTAAATTCTGGTTGATAGACTTATTCCATATATATATATGAGTATTTTCTGGACTCAGTATTGATTAGACAAACAGAATTTGGAATTTGGAATTTTTTGCATTTATAGTTTTATATTTATATATTTTTATAATTTGATATATGTATAGAATTCATCATAGTTTATTATTATATTACTTTCTTATTTTTTCCTATTATCTTATTTTTTT